GCTAGGGTAGGGGGTTATTAGTCAGTGCATTTGGTCCTGGTGTCAGCGATGGCATCTCTTTGTCTGGTTTTGCCACTTTTTTTTTTTTTCTGGACCTGGAGCTGAAACACAACTGAGGCTTAGCTGTTATCTCTCATTTGACTTTGACTGTAACTCTATCTCTGGGGTCAACAAACCGGAGGCTTTGTTCCTCAGGTCATTTGATGCTGATCAGAATTTCTTTGTCCTGAAGGCTTAACCCAGCGGATCTCAACCTGTGGGTCACGACCCCTTTGGGGGTCGAACGACCCTTTCACAGGGGTCGCCTAAGACCATTGGCAAACACATATATAATTATATGTTGTTTTTGTGATTAATCACTATGCTTTAATTATGTTCAATTTGTAACAATGAAATTGGGGGTCACCACAACATGAGGAACTGTATGAAAGGGTCGCAGCATTAGGAAGGTTGAGAACCACTTAACCTTTGAGGGAATGGCCCTGCAAGAGAGAAGGAGGTAGGTGAGTCAGGATGCCCAATGAGGCGGGTAAGAATCAAAAGGAAAGAAAGAAAGGAGAAAGGGTCATATTAAGAAATGAAGTTTCTACAGTTACACATGATTTAATGCTTACAACTTTTATTTCCAATAGTAAGTTCCCTAGATATAGACTCTCTGTTTATTTACTGCTACACATTTTCTCTGAAATTAGTGCATCCAGGAAATAAATGCTAACGAAGAGATAAAGGCAGTCGAGGCAGCTATTAGGAAAACAATGACACAATCCAAGTTAGCTCAGCCATCTAACACCCATACAGCATTCATATATTTCACCAGGGTAACATGAAGCAGTCAGAAGTCCGAGCCAGGGAAAGCCCAATATATCCAGGTTCAGTAATCTTAACTCTGCAAAAGCAAGGCAGACTTGAATTACAGTAGTGCAGCAAGACATCCTGCCATTCTAAGTCACAGACTCAGTCCTTAACATTTCCCTAAACATCCTCTTCAGAAATAGTTCCCTTCAAATATGTATTTCTTATCTCCAGGATTTGTACATATGGCTTTCCTGGCTGCATTTCAAGTCTTAGGAGACTGCATCATAAATAAGTGCCAAAAAACTCTAGGTCCCTGAATTTTCATTTTGGTAACATTTAGGATAAGCAACACTATAGTAATAATCATTATCATCGTCATCATCATCATCATCCCAAATTTATATAAATATATAATGTGTGAAATTAACAATAATTATTCAATGAAAGTAAAACGAGGACCAGAGAGCTTGCTCAGATTTCTTTGATTATTACATTGTGGGTAGTGTATCAAAAACAAAGTAGGCATTATTTGTCTCAGAAACTCAGAAAGCTCTTGCTATAGTGAGTCCCAGATCCTTTTTCAATATTATTGGATAAGCAGCATTCATAGACTTAACTTTCTCTGTAAAGACACATGATGAAACAGCAGTTTCAGCCAAGTGAGAACCTTCGCTGCGCCTCTGTACTGGCCGCCTTGTTCCTGGTTCAGCTGTATCCTTCAGGGTGGCAGAGGTACACCCCAGCTGTACCACATAATGAGTGCAATGTCTGGATGCTCAAATAAAGCAGCGTTTTGAGAAATCTTTGAGAGAAACCAGTCTTAACCAGTGTTTTTATTTCAGCTGTCTGAGAGCAGAGCGAGGTGAGATGATCAATTCCTAATATCAGTTTAATTTTGTCTTCCATTTTTCTAAGAAGACTTAATCAAATACAAAAGAAAATCCCAAATACTTTTTTTCTTTTTTAATAGGCACTGAATACTTATATTCTTTATGAAAGTTACAAACCCTCTTCCTCTTCTCAAATATATAGAGCTTCCAAAAATAAGAGTGCCTCTTTCTCTTTCTTCTTCCTCCCCCATCCCTTCCTCCCCTCCTCCCTTCCCTCCCTCCCCTCCTTTTCTCCTCCCTTCTTCCCTCCCCTTCTCCCTTCCCTCAATCCCCTCCCTTCCTTCCTCCCTCCCTTCCTTTCCTCCCCTCCTTCCCTCCCTTCTTCCCTCCCATCCTTCCCCTTTCCTTCCTTTTTTCCCCCCTTTCTCCTCCTAGTTCTCTCTTCCTCTCTATGCAACAGCTCTTGTCTACTGTGGAGTACTTCCAGAAATAGTGTTTGGGGTTTTAGGAGCTCTGTTTAAAAGAAAACAGTGCTCTTTTGTTGGTGGTGGGAACATAAGTTCCATTTTCTTTTAGGCCAATGCTGAATCTCCTTAACTGAAAAAATAATCCCCTTCGTATGATGATTCATTTATCACAGAGTCATTTGCATAGAAACAGGAGAAGAAATCACTGGATGACAAAGATGAGAGCAGAGTTGCATTGTATTATTTTTGACATATAAGTACTTTATATTGGAGAGAGAAATAATTTTATTTTTTATCCTTTCTCTGATAAAATAATGCACTGTGCCATTAATGCTGTGTCTGTTTCTTCAAGTTTTAAGCTTCAAACGTAGGTAAAAACTTTCTCTTAACCTCCCATGTAGCTTATTCCAGGCCCAGCCTTTCTGATCATCCTTCCTTTAAGCCTTTCTTCACTAGGAAACTCCAAGCTCACTATATGGGGGATCTACAGAGCCCTTAGTTTTTCCATCTTTGAATTTTTTTCAAAAATAAAAATTGCTTTATTTATTGCATAAAAATGCTGCATGTTCATTATAAATTTATTGAAATAATGCAGGAAAATAAATAAAAATTGAAAATTAGTTAGTGTTCTAACATCTATAGATACCTTCTGCTAATGGTTTAATACATGATTTTTTAGATTTTTTTCATTTCCTTTCTGCCTTTGTGTGTTTATATCTGTCTATCCATCTCTGTCACTTGCTTTATTGGTCAGTATTATATCATGAACACCCTTTTGTATAATAAATATCTGACTATATCATGATTTTAAATGCCTGCATAGCAAACCATTAAGAAATGTCCGTTAATCCACCTTCTTTTAGGGGTTTAGGCTATTAAGTTGATAACATTTGTACTGATTCTTAAATTCTGAAATGAGTCAGTGATTATGTCAAGCGGTGGAAGATGAAAAGATAACTCATTGCTGCACATAAGGAGAGTTTCCTGTTGCAATTTGAATAAGAGCTCTGTGTTTTGTTTTATCTGTGGAGAAATATCTTTATACATTTTTTGTTATTTGTTTGGGAGGAACATACATTTTAAAAAATAAAGCTTATAGATGATAGCTGCAACTATGGAGTTGCTTTTGGGTGGGAAGAGGTGGTTAACACAAAGCATAAGGCTTTATAAAGAAGCATAGCATTGCCAAAACCGGTTTGGCTCAGTGGATAGAGCGTCAGCCTGCGGACTGAGAGGTTCCGGGTTCGATTCCGGTCAAGGGCATGTACCTGGGTTGCGGGCACATCCCCGGTGGGGGATGTGCAAGAGGCAGCTGATCGATGTTTCTCTCTCATTGATGTTTCTAACTCTCTCTATCTCCCTCCCTTCCTCTCTATGAAAAATCAATAAAATATATTAAAAAAAAAAAAAAGAAGCATAGCATTGACATCCACTGCCTGGCCCTAGAGTGACCCCTGTCATTCCTGCAGAGTCCAGGAGGCAGCATCTATCACCATTCATGTCATGCCTTTTTGGCCCACGGTAGTGGTTTTTGGTTTTGTTTGTTTTTTAAACTGAGTATCCAGCTCATTCACTCATTCAACAAAATGGAGCTGATGATCTTCCTAGGGCAGGCGTGAAGCTGGATGCTAGCAACGCAGAGATGGATATGGCTTGTATTCTCCTCCAGGCTCTCATGGTCCACGCAGGGTGGGTGGCGTGGCTGGTTCTGTGCTGCTGAAAAACCACAGGCAGCCTCCTTAAGAAAGGGACATGCTACTGGCTTCGGACCCAGGGTTCATCCTAGCCTGGGTGCTCTTTTGGACTCATCGCTTACAATGGTTTTTGTCCAAGTCCCAAAACATGTCTTGGGAGACGCTTTGTTTTGGGTAGGTTGGGAGCCACTCTTGGCCGTGCTAATTGGACAGTGGAGAGGAACAGCAAGATTGCTGGCCAAGGCTAGTCCTGTGAGTGAAGAATAGGGTCCCAGCCATGTTCTTAACATCTTACTTCTTCTTGAGTGTGATTCTCACTGAGAGGTGAATATGCACACAATCACTGAGGGAGGAGATAGTTGCTGCCTTAGCAAGCTGAAGAGTCGCATTCAGCAATCTGCGCACTGCAATGACTTCAGGATTTGCTTAGAAGATATTTTTATATAATCATTAGGGCACTATACTATCAATTCACTCTTATATTAAAAAAAAAAAGAACAAGAAATGACTTCTCACTGTTCAGAGGTTTTATCTAAAAGCTTCGCAAACTTTAATGTGTATAAAAATCACCTAGAGATCTTGTTGAAATGCAGATTTGTATTTCTTGGGTCTGGGCCATGCCCGAGTTTCTGCATTTCCACAGTGCTTCCAGGTCATGCCAACACCTCTGGTTCCCTGGATGGCCCTTAGAGCAGCGGTTCTCAACCTGTGGGTCGCGACCCCTTTGGCGATCGAACGACCCTTTCACAGGGGTTGCCTAAGACCATCGGCATATCAAATATTTACATTACGATTCATAATAGTAGCAACATTACAGTTATGAAGTAGCAACGAAAATAATTTTATGGTTGGGTCACAACATGAGGAACTGTATTTAAAGGGGCAGAAGGTTGAGAACCTCTGCCTTAGAGCCATGGTCGGCAAACTGCGGCTCGTGAGTCACATGTGGCTCTTTGGCCCCTTGAGCGTGGCTCTTCCTAAGCCTTAGGAGTACCCTAATTAATAACAACGTACCTACCTATATAGTTTAAGTTTAAAAAATTTGGCTCTCAAAAGAAATTTCAATCGTTGTACTGTTGATATTTGGCTCTGTTGACTAATGAGTTTGCCGACCACTGCCTTAGAGTAATCAGGACCTACGATGTCTTCATGCCAATAAGGATTCTCCTTTTGTAACTTTGTCTGTTTTTTGTTTGTCATTTGTTTGTTTGCAGCTGCAGTGATGGTCCTAAATAGCATGAGTGTCAGCTGGAGTGCCCGGATCCAGATTTTTCTAACCTTTTGCAAGCTCATAGCAATTCTGATAATTATAGTCCCTGGAGTTATGCAGCTAATTAAAGGTATGGACTGAAAAATAAATGCTTTTTAAAGTACGTATCTGCTTTTGGTCTCTCCAACACTAACTTTCGCTTGTACTAGCAGAATCCCTTAATTAGTCTCTACTTGTGGATCTTGGAATCTATACTGTCATCTAATTGATATGAAAGCTTGCTACCCTGAGGATGAGTTGGTATTTAGAGCTAAATGGCAACAAGAGCATTAAGACTGGGCCAAGCAACAAAATAAGGCATCAGTGAATTCTTTCTCGGTGTAAACTGTTTGAAGTGAAAACTCAAAGTGGAAAAAAAAAATCTGCGGTTAAACTTTAAACTAGTTCAGGGACAGTAATGAAGATTAAAGATATCTGGAACATAATAAAAGATGATCAATAATTCTTTTTCTTTATGGTTACTATTCCCTTTACCTTAAGAATAGAATTTTGGCAGGGAGACAGATAAGGGAGTAGCATTCCTAAAATCCAAATATTATCTGACAAAAATGGTGGTGAGTACTCAATTATCATTGTTACATTACTCTGCATTTCAACAGAAATGTAACACCATTTTCTGGGAATACTTGCCTTTACAGAGTTGACTGTTTAGTAAGAAACCTGAGGTGGTTGAGGGGGTGATGTCATTTTGAGTTTCAGTTGTTTTAGGGAAGGAGGCACATGCTATAGCTTGGGTTCAGGGGAAGTTGTTGGAAAAGAAGCAGGCCCAGGTGAGTTATTTAATTAGCAATGGGCATGATAGTAGGAAGTAAATAGGAAAGTGAGGTGGAATTATATGGGAGTGACCTATAACTTGAGCATGTAAAGTATTTAATGTTTACATGGACATTGTCAGTTCCAAGGAATTTATTGGGAAGTTTAATGAAGTTGCAGAAGAATTACACAAGGCAAAGGATATGCCAAAATTCAGCAAAATGGTAGAGGCATTAAACCAGTGGTTCTCAACCTTCCTAATGCCATGACCCTTTAATACATTTCCTTATGTTGAGGTGACCCCCAACCATAAAATTATTTTCGTTGCTACTTCATAACTGTAATTCTGCTACTGTTATGAATCGTAATGTAAATAGCTGATATGCAGGATGTATTTTGTTACAAATTGAACATAATTAAAGCCTAGTGATTAATCACAAAAACAATATATAATTATATATGTGTTTTCCAATGGTCTTAGGCGACCCCTGTGAAAGGGTCATTCGACCCCTAAAGGGGTCGAGACCCAAAGGTTGAGAACCGCTGCATTAAACAATAACAAACGGCAAAAGGTCAGGGAAAGGGATTTGCTGTTGTCCAGTTAAGGAGCCCAGTGGGAATTCTTAGAGTCCTCCTGGCTAAATGTTTGCATTCAATCCAGCAACCTTGGCCTACTCAGAATAAACACAATAAAGAGAAGACATGAGCTGGCTCTCCTTATTCACGTTGGTCTCCACAGAGCCGGCCTGCTCAGGTTTTTATCTGATCCGTGAGAACTGTAGGGAAAATGATGTCTTGTTAGTGCTTTCCTTTTCTGGGCTAACTCTTTAGTCTTCTGTAAGGCGCTTCTTCCATTTTTGGAAAGTGTGGAAACTCTAGATCATTGACCCTACTTTAGTTCTAGCTAGGGTTCCAAAAGGTGACATATCATCCTTGAAAACCAAAATCCCTTCCCTCCTTATCCTTTTTGGTGTAATGTATGACTGTAGTCAGTTTTTATCACTTACTTAAATGTGTGTGTGAGATGAGAGGAGGTTGCCCAAATACTAATGTGTTGTAGATTCCTTGAGAAGAGAAGCCATGAGATACCTTTTGGATTTTTCTCAGCACTTTACACTAGAATGATCCTTAGGATAAAATCTTCGAATATCCGTGTTTAATGTGACCAGGCTTCCTTATATATCTAATCTGAAAAATGCCCCAAGAGTATTACCACATTCAAAGTAAATTTTAACATTTTGGAGAGCATTCTTAGCAGGTATATTTACTCCAGGACTATGAAATGGTGAGTTTCTTTTTCTCTAACTAGATCATATATTTTCCACATGAATTTGAAACTCTCAGAGAGAAAAAGGGTGTTTGTTGTTTTGTTTTGTTTTACTAATATAGGTTGTGCATTTATGTCTACTCTAATCAGATCCTGAAAAATAGTTCTATGGTCTCTATTTACTTATGAGAATGTGTTAAGCTTTCCTCTGAAGATCATGACTCCCCTCTCCCCGAGACCTCTGTGATGCAGTCGCAATATCCCTGGAGTTCAGCAAATCCTCTCTTCTGTAATACTCTAAGAAGGCACTTACCAGGATTTGGTTTCTCCTACTGATTATTCAGTGCTGTTAGGAATCCTTAGGCCAAGGATAAAAAAAAAAAAAAAAAAGATACAACAGATGTTTTTATCAGAGTTCCAGCATTTATAGTCCCCACTTATGCAGAAGAGATGTTTTAGTAAAATAGGTATTTCTGAATTCACTATATCATTTTAAAAAATGAGCTGCATTCGGGAATTGGATGCTTAGAGGGAAAAATCGTTTAGTGTATAATTCAACATTCTCCACTGTTGGTCTCAAAACTCACACATATGATGTTGATATATCTGTTGTTGCTGGGCAACCCAGGCAGCAACTGAGATAGGACTGAAGAGAGAGGGTCTCATGTATCAGCCACCTCCTTTAATTTACTTATGTGAAGACCAATTTTGAAACAGTGTCACACTTCCTATTAGGATAATCTCATTTGCTATTTGCTTTGGGACAGAGACTTTTTTTTATGCTTCACTTCAGATATTGGCTGACTAAATCTGAATTCTTGTTTTTTGGTTACTGTCTAAAAGACATACAAGAAAAGGGCCCATTATGATTCACAAAGTAGAGAGAAATGTGATCAATAATAGTGTTCAATCCACATGTTGATGCAAAATTTGTTAAAATGTATCTATTTTAAAGTTCAGTATAATTTCAGTGTTTCTAGAAGGAACCCATGCCATTCTCTAGAACAACATCAGTGGACTGTCTGCACAGGGCCGATACTAAATCTTCTTAATTTTGCGTGCCATATGGGCTCTGTCACAACAACCCTACCCTGCTGTTTTAGGGTGACATCAACCATAGACTGGCGGTGTCAACCATAACACTAGTGGGCCTGGCTGCACTCCAATAAAACTTTATTTACCAAAGCAGCTGGGGTGGTGGTGGGGGCATGGGGTGGAGCAAATTTAGTTGCAAGGTTTTCCAATTCCTGTTGGTGTCTCATGAACTACTGGGGGAAAGCAGGAAGTTAAATAACATAAGAATGTGCTTCAGGGCTTTCTTGCCACCTCCTCCTTGAGAATAAATCATGGATATTTCCTCCCAAGCATTCTATTATCTTCATCTTAAAGAATTCTATCACACTCCTATAAACTGTAGGTTAGCAAAGATCCTTTAATCTTCACTCATGGTCAAACTCTGTCAAGAGTAGAGGCACACTCAAATAAAGGATTTTAAAAAAATACCATTTTCCTCTTTGCTATAATTTTATTAGAAGAGAAGTGTAAAGTAGTGTTAGTGGTGATCAATATACTTTGGGGACTCCATCTCTAGAATGAATACAGTATTAATAGATAACATTGGCAATGGGCAGATGGTAAGAAACCTAGACCCCAAACAGTATAGTTTTTATCCAATCCCCCCCTTCCCCCTCCCCATGTTTATGAATAATAACCAATTCTTTGAAAAGTCTTCAAATCTTTTCCTTCTCATTGCAGGGCAAACACAACACTTTAAAGATGCCTTTTCAGGAAGAGACGCCAGTATCATGGGCTTGCCACTGGCTTTCTATTATGGAATGTATGCATATGCTGGCTGGTAAGTGGATAACTGTAGATGGTAGTTAGTCTAGGTTCATTAGCTCCTTCGAGTACTTCAATTTATTGCCAAGCAAAGTGCTAGGCAAATGTAACAATCCAGTGCGATTTACTTTACTTGACGTGAAGAAGATGGCGTGGCTCCACCAGGCCCATTCCTGAACATGTAACTTAATGTGAACATAACTGAGGTTCCCAGTCGAGGTGACTGCTAGATTGAGCCTAATGTCATAAAACAAGCCAATGCCGGGTCTTAAGAACCAGTGCAAATCACTTGTAAGTGTGGATCAGGTAGGACATAATAGTGCCAGGAGATATTAACGATGGCTACTTTGCTCGTCAAAAGACCTTTCAGCTAAAGCTTTAAGGGTGTTTGCAAATAGCGACTGATGATTTTTCTCCACCTTCCCATGAGAAAGAAATAATACAGATGTAGAAATAAGTAAGATTTCATTGTTACAAATTGAACATAATTAAAGCATAGTGATTAATCACAAAAACAATATGTAATTATACATGTGTTTTCCGATGGTCTTAGGCGACCCCTGTGAAAGGGTCGTTTGACCCCCAAAGGGGTTGCGACACACAGGTTGAGAACCGCTGTGCTAGATAATCTGTTACGTTTTAAGGGACCTTACAAATTCCTTAAAACGTTCTCAACATTTGAAAAGAAAATATGCAGCCAAGTTCATGAAAATCACCAGATGATGGAAGTGCATCTTTGAGGCACATCCAACTGTGGTACCTTCCCAGGGAACATTGGAACTTTGTATTTGTGCCTTGTTTTGTTTGGGAATTTGAATAACAATAACTGTGGATAAGAGTGGGATTTTTCCTAATTTAATTTTATTGATTTAGTACAGTGATTTCCAACCTTTCTCATCTCATGGCACACATAAACTAAATTTTGTGACATACCGAGAAATATATTTTTTGCTGATCTGACAATAAATAGTTATAATTTTGATTCATTCACACCAGACAGCTTTTGTTGTGTTGGCTGTTGTCATTTTTTTTTTTTTTTAATTTGACAGTCTAAGGCAGTGGTTCTCAACCTTCTGGCCCTTTAAATATAGTTCCTTATGTTGTGACCCAACCATAAAATTATTTTTGTTGCTACTTCATAATTGTAATGTTGCTACTGTTATGAATCGTAATGTAAATACAGTGGGGCCTTGACTTACGAGTTTAATTCGTTCCGTGATGGAGCTCGTAACTCAAATTACTCGTATGTCAAATCATAAAGTGAACGAGTGAGACACGTGATGCTGGGCTGATGTTGTGGCGTTCACTGTGACGTTCGCTGCGCCAACTAGCGGTGGGGTATCTGAAGCTGGCTCGTAACCCGAATTTTAGCTAGCAACTCAAAGCAAAAAATCAGCCAAGAGACGGCTCGTATCTCGAAAAACTCGTTAGTTGGGACACTCGTAAGTCAAGGCCCCACTGTATCTGATATGCAGGATGGTCTTAGGCAACCCCTGTGAAAGGGTTGTTCAACCGCCAAAGGGGTCGCGACCCACAGGTTGAGAACCGCTGGAAGGGAAAAGAGGTCAGTGCCCCTGACGAAATAGTCAGATATTGCATGTTTAACAAATTTTTGTGGCACACCAGTTAAAAATTGCTGACCTAGTAAGATTTAATTGAAGCGACTTTAGCTAGAAAGCCCAGTAGGTAGAAATATATTACTTAAATATCAAAATTATTGTAGTCAAATTAAATTTCACTGTTTTGGAGTGATTAGTAGCAATATATTTTTTAATTATTTATAGAGCTAATAGTAGTACAGGTTTAGCTGTGAGAATGTTCTGGGTCTAAAAATAATATCAGGAAACTACACTAGTTCAAAAATTATGTAAATACATTTCAAACACAAATACAATTTCCTTTTGTTTCTTTAGTTTTTAACATCTTCCCTTCCAGCTAATGCATGGCATATACAAATATATTTCAAAGTAAATGGAGTGTTTACCCTGTTAATCTCATTGAGTTATGAAAATATAGCAGTAGAGGAGAATTAGGAGAGAACGGGAATTTAACTTAAAATTTTAACATGGCTTTTGCAGCAAAATATGTTTGAAGGTTGTTAAAAGATTGTAGCTCTAAGGAATCTAGCATAACCTATTTGTATATTACTGGAATATTTTTATATCCATTGCGTGTGAGCGTTAGTCTTGAATCCCTCAGAGTTTTGAAGTCTTTTTAATTTTTGTCCAAAGCACAATGTGGTGCCGGGCAGAGAAAGGAACGGAGTTGTGATCACAGGGTTAGCATTGGAATCAGCTCTTCTGTGGCTATTCAGCCTGGATCAGAGCTCTGCAGCCCTGGGGCACCAGCCAAGCTACTGGGAAGGTCACTAGGAGACACCAGCGTGAAGTGGGGCGGTGGCAAAAAGCTTTCAGCCAGAGCCAAGTGCCTGGAGCCTGGGAGTATTCAATCAAGAGTGTGGAATGTGGAGATAGTCACAAGGGAGATTTGATTAATTCTATTGAATGAAGTTTCTTGTGGGTACGATGCATCTGTTCCCACGGAATATTAAAAGGTTCTTCTACCTAGCTCTCTCCCCGCCGCTAACAGCACTGAGTATTCAGGTCACCTTCTTCATCTGGAGCACATCTCTACTTCTGTAGGCTTTTGAGGGCTGATAGATTTCTTTATGAATAAAGACTCTTTTCATGTTGAATTATCTTGTTACTTTAATTTTTTTTATTTTTTTAAAAATATTTTTATTGATTTCAGAGAGGAAGGGTGAGGGAGGGAGCAATAGAAACATTAATGATGAGAGAGAATCATTGATTGGTTACCTCCTGTATGTCCCACACTGGGATTGAGCCCACAACCCTTACATGTGTCCTGACCTGGAATCGAACCGTGAGTGACCTTCTGATTCATAGGTTGACGCTCAACCACTGAACTACGCTGGTCAGGCTATATTTAATTTTATTGACATTGAACCCAAAATGTTACTCTTGTTAAAATGATTTAAAAAGACAATGTAGGTGATACAAACAATCGTGATTTAGTACTTCATAAAGTGGGCAGTCTCCACTCTCAAGGGTCCACAGAACTGCACAGTGGAATGGCAGACAGGAAGCTTTTATTGGGTAAAGAGTAAGGAACAAAGAAGAGAAAAACAGAAAATGAATAAAGAGCAAGGAAATAAGTATAGAGCCCAGAGTTGGCTTGGTTTTGGGGGATCCAGCAGCTCCATGTTGGGCCTAAACATTTATCTCAATACTGTTTATAGGGTAAATGGGGTTTACATGAACCTTTACCCATATAATCCTCATGTCTACTCCCTGTTTTAAAGAATAGGAAACTGTTGCTTTTCTTATATTCTTGAGGATTCAATCATCGTCCTGGAAATTAAGGCCAGGATTTTAAGTGAAATGTCATCTGATACAAGTGGCTTAGGTAGGGGACAGATAAGTAACTATATTTCGATCACAGGTGGTTATGCTACCTGAAAGCTGCTTTGTGGATAGGCAAAAATAGTCTGGTTGTAATCTATGGCCATCAGCCTTAGGAAAAAAATGAAGCTGTGTTTAGAAGAAATAGTCTGTTGGCCTGAAGTTCCCTCAGAAAAGTTAATATCTGGATATAAATGGAACAAGAGGGAGACTAAAAGAGTTCCCAGGGAGAGGGGTGTTTATTAATTTTTCAGATGTGATCCTTTCTCTCTGACCTCTCTCTGACTTTCATGAGATATTTACAAGACCGGGTTGTGGAATTATAAATGGGGCCCTAAATGAGCCTCCACTCCCTCTACTGCTGTGACAATGTTGATGGAAAAAAATAAAAAGTATGGGGGACATTGCACAGAAGTAAGACAGAAGCTGCAATTGTCATCAGAACTTACCCACCTGGGGTGTAAGTGAAAGCAGCAAGAGCCTGGTTGTCCTGGAGGTCCGGCTCCGTGCGCAGTTCACCTCCCGCGTGTTGAATAGGAAAAAGACACTGCCAGGCCTTGGCTGGGATGCCGGAGGACGTTGGCTGTGAGGAGTGCAGAACCTTTTTAGAATGATAAAAACTCCTTCACAGAAACATGATTAGGGGGAAAGAAATCATTAACCCAGCCAGGTCACAGAGTTGGGTCAGAACAACTTTAATATTCTTGCCAATGTCTGTATTCAGAGAAATATGCCTGCCTGTTTCCCTTATGGCCCAGGGGAGTTCAACCAATTTCAGCCTCATACCTGATCCAAAGCTAAATATTGGTTGGTGGGATTTTTTTTTTTTTTTTTAAACTGCATGATAGAAAATGGGTTTTTGGTGTCTTTTTTTCTTCCTTTTAAATCCTATCCTCAGTGGATTTGGTCTTTCTAAAGCACCTGTGGGGATTATTTTGTACCATTGTGTCAAATCCCATCTAAAGAATAAGCTTCTTTTTAAAAGAATTCACATGGTTGGGTACTGGAATGCATTGTCAGCATTGCGGTGCCTTTTATACACAATCGTGGAAAAGCTGAGACAATAGATCTTGTGAACATTCTCTGGAGGCCTTGAGGAGATGTAAGGCAAAGAGGATGCTCTTGGACTCATTGCTAGAGGCAAGGAGAACATAAAGGTGTATTTCCCGCAGGATGGTAATGTTTGGACCAAAATAAGAAGCTTTCTTATCCCCACCCCTACCCTGCCCCAAGCCCTTTCCTTGTCTCTATTCTCTGGAGCTATGACAAATATTTGAAATTGTGTTCTTTTTCATAAATATTTCCTTTCTTGCTTTAACATTGTTGGAAAAAGACATTTCTAAAACAAGTGTTAAGACGGAACTGGTTATTTTTGATATGAGAACCTTGGAAATATTTCTTCATTTGTGTGCTTTTTGTTTTGTTTTGTTTTGTTTACATTTTCTTCCTGTACTTCCCATTGCCTTGGGCTTTTAACAAACACATCAAATCCCTAAGAGTGCATATTCCAGATGTAAGTATTGATTGCTGCTTGCCTTCCTGGTATAACTACAACCTCTATTTTTAGAATGTACACTTTAGTCATTAAAAGATATCTTTGGCTGCTAACTTAAAAAAAAAAGTTTTTATTAATTTTTTTAGAGAGAGAGGAAGGGAGAGGGATAGAGAGATGGAAATGTTGATGAGAGAGAAACATCCATCAGCTGTCTCCTGCATGACCCCTAATGGGTTTCGAACCTGCAACCCATGCATGTGCCCTGTCCAGGAATCAAACTGGGGACTTCTTGGTTCATTGGTCGGCTCTCAACCACTGAGACACACTGGCCTGGCTGACTGCTAACTTTTTATTTATTTATTTTTATTATTTTTTAATATATTTTTATTGATTTCAGAGAGGGGGAGAGAGAAACATCAATGATGAAAGAGAATCATTGATTGGCTGCCTCCTGCACGCCCCCTACTGGGGATCCAGCCACAACCTAGGCATGTGCCCTGACTGGGAATTGAACCTGTGACCTCCTGGTTCATAGTTTGACCACTGAGCTATGCTTGCCAGGTAGGCTGCTAACTTTTTAGGTCAACATTATCACTACCATTTTCTCAGCTATTTCCACTTAAAACATATCTGTAAAATATTAGATACCTTAACCTTGTTGAAAGATAAATTTATAAAATTAATAATTCCAAGAGTTTATTTGAGCAAAAAATGATTCCAATTGGGCAGCTTCCCATCTAGCAGATAGAAAGGAGCTCCAAGGAGCTGTACAAAATGCAAGACTTTTATAGGCAGAAGGAAGTGGGAACAAGAAAGTTAGACTACACTACACCAAAAAGCAGGTTGGTTACTGCAAGGTTACTTACCTGTCTATAGGCAGATGGCCCAACTAGTTCTGGTCAGATGATTCCTGATTGACTGGTTTCAGAGTCCATTTCTGGGAGAGCTGGAACTTTAATTAAGTCTCAGTTTGGTGACATGTGGCTTAGCATAAGTGACTCCATTGGGGGCCTGTTGTCTTGTTTTGAACAACCATGATCATTAACTGCCTACTTATTAATTTAGATAAGTGTTTTATAAAGATGGGATGTGATAGGCTTTCTCATCTTTGTTGTAAGTCACGAGAAAGTTTAAGTATATTAAAGGCTGATGGGCTAATAGGCCAGCCATTTGGTTTTAGGTTATGAAAAATTTGTACTTGTGGACCCAGGCTTTTGTGCACCTAAATAATTGATATTTTACCTCCTAAGGAATACTAAGAGAACAGAAGGGTACATTGAAAATATCACTTAATTATTTTGTGGAAATTTCCTAACCTATGAAATGAAGAGGTAGACAGGTCTTTTTCTTTATATGTTCAGCTTTCCCCTTTATGAACCCTTAGTTTTCCCATCTTCATGATCTAGTTATCTATGTATGTGTATTTGAGGATGGAGTCTGCCTCAATCTTATATATTTCGGAACCCTGAGAGGGAACTACAGGGCTTTAAAGGGTCTCTAGCAGTCCTTTTGGTTGGAAAAAGAAGTCATGTGTGCAAGGTGGTGGACATTCCTGAATGGGATAAGTAGGGTCGCAAGTTAAAGAAAAGGAACCCCTAAATTCTTTTGGGCCATAATTTTAGGGCAATATTTGCAACTCTATAGAACTTGAAAATGTAATATGTTTGCCCAGAATGCTTCCTGTCATGTAATAGACCCAGAAAAGTGTTCAGGCCTTGAGAAATATTCTAAAAGTTCTGCTCTTGCCTGGCCAGTGTGGTTCAGTTCATTGAGTGTTGTTCTATGCACCTAAAGGTTGTAGGTTCAATTCCCAGTCAGGGCTTATAACCAGGTTGTGGGTTTGACCTCTGATTGGGGCATGTACTGAGGCAGTCAATCAATTTCTCTCTTTCTCCCTTCCTTTCTCTAAGCAAGTCCTTGGGTAAGGATTTCAAAAACAAGTTTTGCTCTTTAGTTATCAACTTTGTATAATGCCTAACACTGTGCCTAAACTTAGTGGCCTAAATATACAAAAAAGAAAAATAGCAACTTCAGAACCTAGTGACTTGAGCTTATTTGGTGGGACGCATACTGGAAAAGAGTGAATTAAAAGGGAGAAGTGTGAATTGAGAATTTATTATCTGTTATCCCATTTCAGTTCCTACTTATCCTCTGTTTATATCTAGAAAGCCAGTTCCCTAAAACTGAGCAATGCTCTTGTCATACTTCTATTGCCCTACTAGTTTTGATAGACTTGACACCACTACTAAAGTCTGGATTCTCAGAAGCCAAAGGCTATGTGTACTTAAATTCTGTCCTCACTCCCGTGCCACAATGAGTGCTGTAGAATACTCAGTCATACATTACTCATGCCCTGTGCTCATGTGCTCTACTCAGTCTGGGATGTCCTTACACCACTTCACCAGGGTAAATCTTAAACAGTTTTGAGGACTCAACTGAGGTGATGCCTCTTCTAAAAATATCTTCCCTGACCTGCCCATCTGGGTTAGACCTGCCCCGGCTCCCATGGCGCCCTGTGTGTGCCCCCCAGCATTGCCTCCTATGCTGTATCACACTATTTTATGGACCAATCTATAAACCATGAACTCCTTGAGGACAGAGACTAAGTATTTTCCACTTTCGTGTCCCCAGTGACTGACATATGGTAATCTCATCTGTTACTGGAGCAGATTTTAGAGATGGTAGAAAATAGTTGGCAGTAAACATACCCACCCTATGATCCAGCAATCTTATTCTGAGCATATAACCAAGTGAAATGAATGCATAGACATGTACAAGCATATCAATGGTGTCTATATTCAAAATAGCTATGAATTAGAAGTAATCCAAATGTGCATCAACAATAGACTGTATAGTGCTACATTCATTCCATGAATAGCAACAATGGAAAATACTGAATCACTGCTACACACAATATGGATGAGACTCACAAACACAAAGGCCAGCAAAAAAAGCCAGACACAAAAGAATAAATATTGTAAAATTGTTATACAAGCAAATATCAGCCTGTTGTGATGAAATAAGCAAATCTAATCTATGGTGGTAAAAGTCAGAACAGTGGTTGCCTTTGCAGGAGAGTGGGGGAGATGGTATTACTGGAAAGGGCTATGAGGAAACCTTCTGGGAGGCCAGACATGTTTTATCTCTTGATCTTGTTGTTGGTTACACAGGTGTGTAAAAATTCATCATTACACATTAAGATGTGTGCACTGTACTGTTAGTATGTTATACCTCTATAAAAATGTTAAATAAAAAAGAACTCCATCAATGCAGTTTAATAGGGAACTGATTTGCAGGAGCTTTTGGTTGTGGAACATTTCCATCTTACTGTAAGTGTTTGCTTATAAAGTTTTCATAATTCTCAGGTTGATTTTAAACAGTTATACAATATATGCCGGGAGCCGGTCCATCCTTGCTGTTTCAAGGGACCTGGCATATATGGCATACTGTTCTTAATATGTTTGCTCACCTTCTTGGCACTATGTGTTTTAACCAAGGTCACCTCTCTGAGAAAGGTTGTTTCCCCAAGTAGGGATTTTCCCCTGAAGTTAGGGAGGGAATAAAACCCCTTAACTAAGTGCCAGGTGGGTAATTAATCACTTCAACTACAAACAATCATGCTTAAGCTACATAATCTTTACTCCCTGGAATGGAGATAAGAAACACCCTAACCTTTGGAATAGAGATTGATAGGATTGGAATCAACTGGTATAAATACAGATGTAACAAGACAAGAGACAGAACTTAGAAGACAGAACCTAGACACAGAACCTAGACACAGAACCCACACAGAACCTAGACACAGAACACCTAGACACAGAACCTAGACACAGAACCTAGAGACAGAATAACTGCTGGAGAGAACATGGCAAAAGATCCTGGACAGAAACTGGCCACAGAACTTAGAGACATAACCTAGCGAGAGAACCTGGCTGAAGAACCTAGAGACAGAACCTGGCTACAGAACCTGGATAGAACATGGCAAGAGAACCTGACTAGAACCCAGTGACTGAACCTGGCTGGAGAACCTAGCGAGGGAACATGGCTACAGAACCTGGCTGGAGAACCTGGAGGACCTGGCTGGAGAACCTAGCAAGAGAACATGGACACAGAACCTGGCTGGAGATCTGTTCCAGAACTTCACTGGAGATCCTAAACAGAACTTGGCTGGAGATTGTGACTAGAGATCCTGGCTAGGCTGCTGATCAACTGAACGCTGTCTCCGTGTCATTCCTTCTTCGCCGACTCCGTCCACACCTTTGGGGACCCCTGGACCTGCTGGGGTTGGACCCCAGCAAATATACAGGTGGCATGTCATAGAATTGTATACCTGAAACCTATATGATCATATTAACCAATGTCATCCCAATAAATTCAATAAATGAATAAATTTTGAAACTTTGAATTATGATCATAAAATATATTAATTGCTTATAATTTATTTATATCTTTTTAGGTTTTATCTCAACTTTGTAACTGAAGAAGTAGAAAATCCTGAAAAGTAAGTATCCATATTTACTCTGAAATACTTATGAGGAATAAATGTAAGGCTATATAGTTGAAAAGTAGACCTAAAGAAGAAATTTAGTGTGGGCTAATCAACTTTATACTTATCATAATCATCATTCTCTTAGGCAGATAAAATTTATTTGTTTTTATCATAAATTAGATGCCAATAACTTTATTGTATCTTCTACATTTAGCATTAAATTATAGAACCTGAAAGCATAAAATAATAAAGTTATATTTTTGGTAACTTATTTTATACATCTATACATACACTTAACATGGATTTAACAGGGCCTTAACTTCGCACATTGATAATATCAATGTTTCCATATATATACAAATACTGAGGGACAATGATGTATTAATTCAGTGTTTTTTTTATTGCAAAGAAAGTTCATCTCAAAAAAAATGAAAATACTAATAGCATCTGCCTCATTGGGTTGTGGAAATGAGTTAATGTATATAAAGTACTTAGATTAGTGACTATTGGTTTTTATTCTCTACACTAGAGGCCTAGTGCATGAAATTAGTGCACAGGGGGTGGGGGTGTCCCTCAGCCTGGCCTTCACCCCCTCACAATCTAGGACCCCTCGGGGGATGTCCGACTGCCGGTTTAGGCCTGATCCCGCTAAACCAGCAGTTGGACATCCTTCTCACAATCCGGGACCACTGGCTCCTAACTGCACACCTGCCTGCCTGCCTGATCACCCCTAACCATTCTGCCTGCCTGCTTGATCACCCCTAACCACTTGCCTGCCTGCCTAATCACCCCTAACCACTCGCCTGCCTGCCTCATCGCCCCTAACCACTTGCCTGCCTGCCTGATTGCCCCTACTCACCTCTGCCTCGGCCCCTGCTGCTGGAGCTTCATCCAGAAGGACATCCAGAATGATGTTTGGAAGGTTGTTTGGATGTCCGGTCTAATTAGCATATTATGCTTTTATTATTATAGATAATTGTTTGGTTGTTGTTACTATTATTATATCCTTATTTTAGGAGCAAGGTAAATATTACCCATGTAAGAGTGTTTTCTATATTTCAATATCCTAAGCTATTCTCTTTCTTCAGTGTTTTTGGTAGAAATATGAAAAATTATTTCACACCATAGTGAAGCTTGTTCTCTGAACTTTCAGTACTAAAGTTGGATGTGCATTTTATGATCTCTCCTATTCTTGTGTACAGATTCATTGAATCTTTATATTTAGAGAAAATAAACTTGCATTTTAAAAGAGAAACATCAGCTATAAGAGTTTTATAATAAATTAAAGTAACAAATCTGATGTAGACTAAGATTATTATCACTGGTTACCTTGGATAAAATATTTTCATTTTCTGGAACTCATGATTCTGAAAACTATATTAAATATTCCTAGAATACTTTTATTTTGATATGACATTTTAATGTGTTAAACTAAGGAACTTCTCAGGAGAATTTAAGTAAGAATCTCTGGATTTTTAGGTCAAGATAATGAGTAACTATTGAAACTTCAGTTGAAGAAAGACCTGTCTGGCATTATTCTTTTTTCATACTAGATACTCAGATATTTAGTTTTTGCATGGAAGATTTTACATAAGACTTAGCCAACACATTTATTTTCTCAAAATCAGAATCCGAGATAGCCACAAAATCCCCTTAATGAAAACTACTGATTAAATTTGTACTATGCATTATTTATCAACCAAAGAAATTCAGGGTTTTGAGCAATTTATTCAGTGTATTAAATTAAAAAATAACATTTCCCTGCAATGTTGACAACCAGTCCAAGCCTTTAAAAAATAAATCTTATTTTTTTTAAACACAAAGAATGCTTTGGGACATACTCATGGTTGAATATAGAGAACAGATGGTAAAATTATGTGGACCTATTCCAGATGTGTAATTTGTATTATTTTGTAGGTCGACACAGCTCCAAAATACCTTTCGTTACAAGGGAGAATAATTATAATTTCATCTCCTTTGTGACGTGCCAAGATAAATGTGTTTCCCAAACAGTCGCAGTGCGTGTGTCCAGGTGTGCGGCAATGTGCAGCTCTCTGGCAGCTGGTGAAATGAATCATCAGCTGCAGGTACAACACCTTGTGGTATCCTCCTCTGCCGAGGCAATAAATTTCACCTTAAATTGTGATGGAATAGAAAAAGTGGTCATTAATTTCGATCAGCGAAAATGTGATTTAAAATATATAGAACGGAGAATACGGTTTCGTGATCACTATTGACAATCTTTTATATATAATTTGATATCAGTGGAAATCTTTCAAATTACCTAACATTACTCTACAGAATAATTTCTTAACTTCTAATAGGAGCATGACTTATGGAACAGTTCTGTAAGTGTATGGCAAATGAGAGATAAGCTGGGAGATTAATATCATCAAAATAATTAGTTTGTGACTTCTTTCTTATTATCTCACCCATTCTTAATAGCTTATAAGACACTAATCCTAAAATTTGAGGCAAAATTCCTGCTGTATGATTACATTTGTAATGTTACAAAAATGTTCCAATGATATTTCTTATAATGTTTTCTTCTCTAAAAGCAGCTTTGGACTATAGAAGTAGCAATCCTTAAAAGACATTTACCATTTTTATGTGAAAATGCAATAATATCTTTGACATTTTGCAATAATATAAAAATATTGCATTTAATAATTATCTATAGCATGATGACTGGCTCCACAAATGAATATATTAAAGTAAGAATAGTATTTTGAAGAGCATAAAAGTCCAAAGTTTAGATCACATAAGTGATAGAATCCCAGTGAATATCTGAATTTTAAAATAATATTGCCCCTCCCCCCAATGAAGTGTGTAGTAGTAGTGATTGCTAATGAGTACCTTTGCTTTTAAAAATCAAAATGTTTTTATTTGTAAATCTAATAGGCTTTCCCTATGATATTACTTTTGTGGTGACTGCAATCCATCATTGTTCAAAAAGTTACACAGTGCAAAGAACATATCATTGAGATGTATAATGTTTGTAATCCTGCTCTCAGATTGATAAATCATGTCTTGTGTTGATGAAAGGCAAGAAATGAATTGCTTTACTTTGACCTTGGGAGTCTGAGATTAGTCGGTTTGCCTATTAGCCTTGTTTCAGTGTTCTTCTCACTTCATTTATTCCTTCTGTTCTGAGGAGTTGGAAATAGTAGACTTGGAGGAAGTCAGTAAAGCTTGATATCATCAGTCATTTTTGAAGAGCAGGCTATCAACATGCTCTAAATAATCAACTGTAATAGGAGGTTTAAATAATCAGAGTGTCATGTTTAATTAATACTATGCCTGCTGCCAATTTATATTAATTGATGCCTGAAAGTCATCACACCTTGTACCAATGATAACTTCAAAGAAGAGAAACTTGGATTGGGAAAAATGCCCAAAGACATTTAAGGCATTGTGATGCGATCAGACTGGTTCATAAATGGTCCACTATCACGTTATTTTCATACAGTTCAGTCATTGCATGAATTCTTAGTATATGGGTTTTTATCCTTATTGATTTGTATTAAGCTAGTGTAAAGGTATCTATAATAATAAAAGTGTAATATGCTAATTAGACCAGACGACCTTCCGGATGAAGCCAGGGCTTCAAGGGAAGCCGAGGTCCTGGTTGCCAGAGGGGAGCTGGTGCTGGCAGCTGGGAGAAGGAAGGCCTATTCTTGCACGAATTTCATGCATCGGGCCTCTAGTCTATATATATAAAAGCCTAAGTGACCGAATGAACAAATGACTGAATGACCATTTGACCAATCGCTATGACGTGCACTGATGGGCGCCAGACACCAGGCTCAGGGCTGACAAGCACAGCTGTGGTGGTGGCGCGAGCCTCCCGCCTCTGCAGCAGTGTGCTACCGAGCGGGCTGCAGGCACAGCAGGGCGGGATGAGCGGAAGTAGCGCGGGGCTGGCTGGGGCTCAGGCTCCTCCCCGGCCACCTGCCACATCACATACTGCTACATCCTTCAGGGACTGTTGGACTGCCAGTTTTAGCCTGGTCCTGGTCTGCGGGGATCAGGCCGAAACTGGCAGTCCAACATCCTTCAAGCGGTCCCAGATTGCAAGAGGGCTCAGGCCAGGCTGAGGGACCCCACCAGTGCACGAATCTGTGCACCGGGCCTCTAATTTATTAATAATGCTATATTTTTTATAAGGCCTATTTCTTATAGGACATATAAAACTATTAGCCTGGTTAAAAACATAGCAAAAGAAAACAATTTAAAGATCTTGCCCAAATGTGCTGTAGTGAAGTTGCATGACGGCGCATTAAAGGTTGAGTTAAAGTCATTGATCTTGTATTTTGGCATTTTAAGAGTGCAGTTTTCTATGAGAGACAAATTTCCCTGTTTATGTGTTGTAGCTTTCTAACTTAACAGGTGCTAGGAAATAGCATATAATGTCTCAATTATATGTGCAGATTATAGCAACATTATGTTTTTTCATTTTTTAATTACAAAGTAAGGTTATCTATATTTTCAGAAAACTTGCAGTTTCCTTCACAAATACTCAAATAGTATATGTTTTTAAGGTACATAAACTAATTGTCACAGAAAATTACCTCATTGTAAATAAATGTATATAGAAAAATCTAGGTTATTAAGCAGAATTAATTTGTAAACATATTTGCTGAATGAATCTCTTAAAAATGATGTCTCCTAACCAAGTTGAATTTTAAAATTGAATTTATACCCAAGTTTATAAAGATTTCTTTGGCAAAATGAGGCATCTCTTTATCAATGACAACAAAGCATTGTTAGAATTATCTTAATATGTGACAGTACATTTCTTCAATTGTTGAAATCATTGATACTTAAATTAAATTCATTCTATTCAGTGCATTTTTTTTTCTGGAAACAGAAAAAGTTTTGCAAATCAACTTTTAAGTATGTTTCACAGCAGGAGTATAATTGTACTGGTTGAGCCACTGAGGCAGGCAAAAGGTCAGGATTTGGCCAGAAGTTACAGAAAATAGATGATTCTATATTTAGAGATCAAGGTC